GTGCGCGGGTGGCAGCGGGGCAGGGACGGTGCGGGGACAGGGCGCGTGGGACCGTCGTCCCGCAGCGGAGGGCGGTGGGCTTTGCGGGCAGCGGGAAAGGGCTGCAGAAGAAAGCAGAAATGTAGAAACGGGAGGGTGATGCTTGTGTTAAATGGGGTTGAATTTTTCAGTAGGCTTGTTAGCCCTCCTCCCCCCGCCCTTCTTATACTTGGTTTTTTGACCCTGCGAGAACATGGGATCTTAGAGTGAAGCTCAGACTTTTTATGGAAATCTGTGAAATCGTTGCCAAATATTTCGTATCGTTTTTACAGATACATTAAACAGCAGTAAAAGAATTGGAATTTAAATGTTCAAGCTTCTTCCAGTTTTAAGTCGTAGCAGTGTATTTTAATCTTTCTGCTGAAACGAATTCCATCCGTACCAGATTTTGTATTAGCTCTGTCATACTTTTTCTTTTATACATTCTAATGAAATATATTTTCTCGACAGGGTCATGTTGGTACAACGGCAACCAAAAAAATTGATGTCTACCTCCCCCTGCACACAAGCCAAGACAAACTGCAGCCCATGACAGTTGTGACGATAGCAAATGCCAAGGTGCATGACCTGATTGGACTAATATGCTGGCAATATACAAGTGAGGGACGGGAACCAAAACTGAAGTAATGTTCTTTCTTTACTACCTCTTGATCTCTAATTTTCTCCTCTGCAGCCTTTTGCATAATGAAGTGGATTTCCATGTCAATGTTTTTATAGATAAATCTTAGAGAAACCACCTACACGTTTATCAGTGTTCCCTTTTGAGCAGTACACGTGCGGCTGCGGCCATTTCTCTTGCAATTAAACTGCCGGGTACTGTATAACGATAAGCATATGAAGCCACGGATCTGTAATAATATAAGTCTTATCTCTTTTGATGTTGCGGAGACATTGTTTGTTTTATGTCCCATCTACTTTTTGGTAGTGTTCTCAGTGACTGAGATCACACAGATGGGAAATAAAATCCAGAACCCATCTGTAATTCCTTCTCTTGTTCCGAGAGAAGGTTCCCAGATTCTGACTCCTCTGCACAGCACCGATTCCTCCTACAGAGTCGCAGGGAGAGGAATCGCTGCAGGGGGTGACCGTGTGCCTTGGAAGCCCCGTCAGTGTTCTCCTGAGCCCGTGGAACAGATTGTAGCCGTAGCGCGTGTGCCTGAAAACAAGTCAGAATTCTGCCATAGAACTTCAGCGTTATCACTTACTTGATTCCTGCTGTCACTTTGCTGACAAAATGACTTTAATTCATTACACACGTGTTAAAATATTTCTGTTTTTCTAAGAATTGACAGATGTAGGGGCTAAAGGTGCTTTTCTTTCCAGGTTATATTCCTGGAGATAGCACTAAAATAAAGATATGCAAATAAGGATCCTGAAAACAAAATAAATACCAGTTTTCTTTGAAATTGTGACTAAAATTGCATTCTTTAATTCAAAAACATCTGTCATGCAGTATTTTATAATTTCTACAAGACTTTGACCTCTGTCACATTGGTGCTTTGCTGTAAAGAGCAGCATCTGTGTTGTCCTCAGAAATTTCAGCTCCAGTTAATCAGTGGCTTTTTCAGTATCTTTGGTAACCCTCACTTACGTCTGCATTGGGAAGGAGTTCTGCCCGTAGGATTTCTGTGAGTAAATAGCGGATTGGAGTTGCTGTGCTGGAGAGGTGGTGGTGGTTGGTAAGAGCCGTTACTTTGTCAGGGGAGGTGACATAAGGTCTATGAAACGGGTACTTCAGAGCCACTCATCTGAGCAACTTTGGTTTTAAAGCAGCTCTGTACAGTACTTCCCTTTTTGCTGGGTCATAGAACATAAAATAAGAACTTAAAATAGTTTATTATGGAGTTGTGAGTAACAGATACTAGCGGGTGACTTTTCTGGTGCAAAGAAGGTTAATAGTTTTGTTCGTTTTTTTCTATAGGAGACGATTTTCCCGTTTTTGTTGTTCCTGGAATATTTGATGACTGGTGGGGGTTTTGTACTGAATTTCACAGTTTGCTCTTTCAGCATTTTTCCGAGTGTTTGAGGACTCCGAAGCCTTCTCTCCCGTTGCAGCAGGGCTGTAGGGGCAGGGAGGTGTGGGGGCGCGGGACCTGCCCTGCTCTGCGACCAGTGGGTTTCTGTTTAGGAGGTACAGGACGGCCCAGAAACACAGCCCCTCTTGAGAACGGTTCCGCGGATATTGTTGCCTTGGATATAGCGTTTCCCTCAGCTCTTCTCAACAAACATATGAGATGTTGCAGAGGTTAAATGCTTCAGTTTGATTTATCATTTTTTTACTCTGGAGAAGAAATACAAAATTATTTGCAGATGGTGCCATTTCATTTGCTGTTTTTAATTTCTGTTCATTATATCATAAGCTCAAAACAGTGTCTTTTGTTTGATTAGCTTATTTTTTATCGAGTAAGACAAGCTTTGGACACACACATTTTTCAGGAGCACAGCACACCTCAAATGGAGCAGTGCCCGTGAGTAGAGGGATTCCATGAACCATCACTGCCCACGGCAAAAGTCAGCAGTGGGAGGAAATGAATTTCCCTGTCTGCCGTGAAGGATGAGATGTTATGATGTGTCAAAGAGTGATCACGACCAAGGAGGCTGTCTAATGTAATCAAATCTCAGGACAGAAATAATACAATAACTAATGGAGGCACGAGTTCCCGAGAACAGCCAAACAGCAGCTATTGAATTGGGTGCAAGTGCTCGGAGGACGGGGCAGAGCCTCAGGATTACGAGAAGTCTGTTTTCTTGTGTAGTTCTTCATTATTTCTCATGTCTCCATCATCTTTTTTTTTAGCATTGCCGCCTGCCCATCCTGTAGAAGGACTGATGTAACTGCAGACTAATTCCCATCACTTCCAAATAAGGAAAGGTGTCACAGCCTACATTTGCTATTTGTGCCTGATTTAGTCAGTTTAGAGCATGAAAAAAGAAAAAAATTGGGATCATTGTGACACAGCACTAAAATACGTATAGAGAATGCTTCAAATCTGATATACAATGCGTGCAGAATGACAAATATACCTACTGGTAACACAATCTGAGAATAATGAGGAGGTTGTAGACCTTGTAATTAAGAGAAACAACCCCTCTGCCTTTAGTAAGAGAATATATTACTGCCTAATTCGTTTTCCTAAAAGGTAGATGCAAGAGTCTGAAATGAGTGAGTACTAGTTGACAGCTTTGAGAACGTTTTGTATTGTTAGGCTGCCTTTTTTTATTATAATTGTATTATATTTGTCTCTATTCAGTGTCTTGATACGAGGCAGCACTGACAGTGTTAGCAACTCTCTTCGGGCCTCTTACATACGAACGTTGGTCATAACCCACTGGACCGTTCTCTTGCCAACCCCTGACAGATGTGCTGTAATGGTTCCGCCTGCAAAAAATAAGATCCCTTTCTAGGAATAAATAAATAGTGAGATGCAAAATTCAAATAAACTTCCTATTTTTCGAAGTTAAGAATGCCATTACATCTGTCAGTTGTATTAAATATTCTGTCCATAGCAAACTCGGATTCTCAAGACTGCACCTTGTAATTTGAAGCATAAAGTTCAGGACTTTGGTTTCATCCTGGTGGAGGTTCAAAACACAGAACTGTTTTACCCGTTGGATGTGGGTTTTCAACAGGTTGTGACAATCTGTGTTAATGTTCAGGAACCCACTCCAAGTTTGAAGACATTTGTAACCCCTTTAATTTCTGGGATTTTACTGACATGGTGTATTTTCAGTATAATTGGTGGAAGATCCGTTGTTGTCACCACCACCTACTTTTGGCACTGGGATTGCTTTGAGACCGCACTGAATGTGCTGTTGCCGGCACGTCTGCATGTTCCTCTGCCTTCAATGAGAATTACGCAAATGCATCAAATACCAAATGAAAACGTTAACTTTATTTATACAGAGCTTTAAGTGCGCAGCGGGCTGCAGACAGAAGGTCTGTGTGGGGCGAATAGGTTAGCGAGGGAGCAGAGGCACAGAGCGCAGCCCGGGCGCGGGGGGACTGTTCCGGCCGGAAAGTCCCATCACGTGGGGCGACGTCGGGGTTACGCTGGAGTGGCCGGAATGAGCACGCAGAGCTCGGTGTGCGTGTTCGCAGAAACAGAGTTAGAGAAGGACCCGAAAATGGTGCCAGGCATGTCTCTTAGGTAAGCAGGGTCAGCTGTACCTGTATTATTCACAGCCTTTTTGTTCAGCTCGTTGCGGGAAGCCTGGCACAGCGCAGACCCCGCAGCCGCCTGCGGCACAGCCCTGCTGCTGCGCCAGTTCTCCTCCCGGCGCTACCTTTCACCAGTTTCCCTAAAAGTTACTTAAGTGCTCTTGAAGAAGTTAAAAATTAATTCTACAGCAATATTCCGGCTCTTCACAACAGCCCAGAGACTCATGAAAGTTTCTTTAGTAGTATCGCCGAATTTTCAAAATTCACAGTGACAATCCTTGCCGGATTACCTTGCCGTTAGCGAATTTACAGCTTACAGTGATAGTAATGCATCATTATTACCTGTTTTATGTAATAAATGTCTTAGTTGTGACAAGGTGCGTATAGATCACCTGGACTAAGCACTCTCAATAAAGTGCAGTTGCAACCAAAGGTTTGTGGATTAATTGAGAAAATTGCAAATCAGGTAGTCAGCGAAATAATTCATTGTCACATCCAATCAATAAACTTTGTAAATCAACTCATTTAATTCAAAAAATGATCTATATAGATCAAGCGACCAATTAAACAATTAGCATACACTTTGCAATTAATTAATTTAAGCATCAATCATGCAATTAAAACTCCAAATTTAAACCGCAGAGTTTAGAAACACAGTGCCACGTGAACGTTCAAGCTCTACTTCATGGCTGTGGAAAATGCCGGAACGCTGGCACATTTACAATGAGAAAGAATACTTATTTTCAGCTCGATAATTTAAATATTAGCATTTGAAATATATTTTAATACTAGGAAAATGTGATTAATACTCAGGTATACATACATAGTTATTTCCCTGTGGGCTTTTGCTTGTGGAAAGGAAGAGGCTTAGATTTTTCTTTCATATTTTCTTCACAATGTATCCGTTTAAAACGTTCTGTGGTATTTAGTTCTCCTTGTTAGTCTGTACTATTTTTTTGTCTGTTTTTAGTGATTGGACTTTTTAGCCATTTAGAAAAGGTAGCTTTTCTCCTAGTCGTTGCTACTAAGTTGAACAGGGTTTTCACTTTTCCCGTGGTTTATCACAGCGTTCACCGGGAGAGCCTGCTCAGCTCCGCCAGCGCACCTTCAGTAAACTCCTCCGCAGTTGCCTGAGCTGTGAAAAAACAGACAGACACTGCGTGTTGCCTTTAGTTCTAAAATGTAATGGTTGTATAAATAAACAAATTTTCACAAATGGAGAAATATTGCTTTCAGCTTTTTGAAGTCATGAAACTTTTATAGACTGGTGTATTTTGGTGACTGCAGTCCTTTGCCTGCAGTTCGGTTACTGGTGGCGGAGACTCACTGCTGTACGCCGGGTTTGGGGGGTTTCTGTTACCACCTGGTTATGGTAGCGAGGTATGTTGGGGCTTTGTTGGGACACATTTATGGACATGCCGTCGGTGGCTTTTGAGCATATGACTCCTGCAACAGGCGTGCCCGCTGGTTTGTTTTCTCCAGCGTTTAGCAACTGGGATCGATCGGGTGAAGCGAATTGCGTGTCTGGCTTCCCTCCTGAATGACCCGGGTTTGTCTTTGTTTCAGCGACAACGTCAATGCCTACTGTCTCCATATTGCTGAGGATGACGGGGAGGTTGACACAGATTTTCCACCCTTGGATTCCAACGAGCCCATTCACAAGTTTGGCTTCAGCACCCTGGCGCTGGTTGAAAAGTACTCCTCTCCCGGCCTGGCAGCGAAACAGTCACTCTTTGTTCGCATGTGAGTATGGATGCTAACATTCCCCATCGCTGGGAAACATCTGTGTCTCCGGGCCACCGCCGCGTCTATTTTCTTCTCTACTTTTCTTCATCTGAACGTGGGGGAGCTGAGGGGGCGCAGGGGCCGGCGGGTCTCGGCGGTCGGTGCGGGGCTCTGGGCGATGCCACGGGGCCGCGAGGGCGGTAAACGCGGCTCAACTGGGGTGAGCCCATCGTGGGGAGAAAATACGCCCTTCCGCATAGGGTTAGTGGAGAACATCAAACTGTTGCACTCCCGCTAGTAAATATTTGGACTTTACACAAAGTCTGAGCTCATAATCTTCGTTTTGCTCCAGCCGTGCTGCCTATTTATGAAAAATATCTTCTGAGTAATAAATGAAATCGTGTCTATAAGACCTTCAGAGAGTTAAAATTATAGTCATTCATGTTGGATATCCAGAGCCCTTTTCAACAGGTGTTAAGAACTGACCCTGCCAGAGACTTTTTATTTTTTGAAAAATTTACTGAATTTTAGCAGAAAAAAGTGTACTCATGGTGTTTGGGTATTCCACATATGACAGACTTCAAAATCTTCTTTCAAAGCCTAGTAGACAAAGCAGTAAGTTTGCATTTTAAGACTGGTTAGTGGACTGCAAAGCAAGGGATTTTACGTGCAACTGGTTGCAGAGTGCATTAGAAGAGTGCAGCGGGTGAGGAGAGAGATGAGCAGTAGCTGAGCAGGTCAGGCGGAGCAGCGCTGCGTGCACCGCCCCCGGTCCAGGAGGACTTTGAAGACAACGACCCCGTCCACTGCTGGAACTTGAAGCTGTCTGGTTTGTAGCTCAAGAAGAATTCACTATATTGTGACTAGTGAATTAAGCTTGTTCACTTTTATTTTTCTTCTCTTCTGAGTGAAAAACCTTTTAAACCATCAGAAGGCCTTAATTACTAAAACAAAATACTAGTAGCACAAGCCACTTCTTACCTGGAAAGAATATTTAATGTTTGGATCTCTTGCAATGAAAAGGCTAATAGGGTTTTCCTGGCTGTTGGGCATTTTTTGAATTTATAAAGGACTACTTACATTTCATAACCATGCAGCTGCTCCTGGTTTTGAATAATCAGACATTTAAAGAAAATTCTAAGCTATTTAATTATATTTTTATACTCGTTATTGTGGACCGTGTTTCTTGGAGACGTTCTAAAGCATCCTACTCAAAGAAATTTTCAGAAATCCCGCGTGCATTTCCCGAAGGCCCATTCACTTCATTCCGCCGTATTAGGTCATTGGAAAATAAAATATTCTGTCAACAGTATCTGCAAATAAGTTATTCAGGGTAACCATACTCGGCTGTGCCGAGCTGGATGCAGTCCTGGGGAGGGAATGAAGCAGCCTTGCCAGTCGGGTTGCAGGGTCCGTTTGCGGTTTGTGCGGGTTGCGGTCACGCAGCTGAGCCAGGCAGCGGACTTCTCCGTCTGTGGGACCGGAGGGTGGTGCGTTCCTCCCGCCGGACTGAAGAATGCCACACGTTTTACCTGGGAGAGGGAATATCTCTTTCACCCGCGTGCATTTCCCCAGAGTCGGTGCTACTGCCATGACTTTGTTTGGTTTTTTTTTTTAATTTTATGATTCTATGATTGTTTTATCTTCAAGATAATCCTGCGTTATCAGTATCCCCAAAGAATTCCAGCGGGTATATAGAAACTTCTATTCTAAGATCACGGGTGTTTGTTGCAGGTAGACGAGTTAAGAAGCCCATGTCATTAGAAGCTTCTGAATTGTTGATGATTTCTCATCATCGTTCTTAAATGCAGTGAACACATGAGGTCTCAGGTTTTGGACATCGGCTCGGAGGAGGTGGAACGGGTGTTCCCGTGGGGAGCGCAGAGACCTCAGCCGGGTCCTGGCCTGGCCAGCAGTTCTCTGGCTGCCGCTCGTGGCAGGATTAAGGTCCAGCTGCAAATCTGGCAAAAGAACTGTGAAATCTTTTGGTTTAACGTAATTTGTGCTCATATGAGGACCTTCCTTCCAACTTGGGAAGCCCTACGGATTAGAAATAGGACAACTGCATCGTAAGAAGTAGTGCTTTTCCGAGAGAGATTTTTTTCTATGTCCACATGTTAATTTGAAATCGCTTGTAGTTCCTGTGTAAATAGTTACTCATAAATAGTTAGTTTTAAATTAGAATTTTTAATGTGTCCCCTAGAATAATTACTTGATCATCACCTGATCAGAAGGTTGTTACTATTGTGAGTTTAAATGTGCATGCTGTCTTATTTTTGTAGGGGTTTGTTGTAAATTCTACATCTTCTTCCTTCCCTGTCATCCTACTAGTGCATGTAATTGTGTTTTTATATTTTGCATCTCTTTTTTTTTTTTCCTCCTCGTGCTGAAGTATTTCAGCTGCTGCTGTGTCAGGCTTGTGCTGTGTGATGTTTATTAATATTGAATCACTGTTGAAAAAAGTTGATGCTTCTGAGAAGCTTCACGATGAAGCATGGTGTTTTATTTCAGCTCTCGCCCGTCCTGCATGTTGGATATATTTTCAGATGTTGTGCAGTTACCGAGCTGACAGTTACGGAACCTCGCTGGGGACCCCGTAGGACATGTTTCAGCAGAAACAGTTTGCAGAACTTCATACGCTTAAACTCCTGCCAAGGCAAACTCTTACCCACTTGAGTTAGTTATAAATACCCAGTGGCGGTGGCTGGAAGTAGCCCACGGTGCATTTTATATTCTGAGCTGAATGTGAATGTCTTTGTGGCGATATAGAGTAGTAAATAATTGAGTTTGATTAGGGAGAGGGACCTCATTATCCCCCCACCTGTGCCCAGCTGGTAGGGGAGGGTCGAAATGAAGCCATTAGCTGTCTCTCTTACTGGCATCTCAAAGAGCTCAAATACATCTGTGTCTTATTTTCTTTTCTGGCACAATCAGTCGAGCAAGCTAAGCAGGCATGACCGAATTTGGCAAGTTCCAAGGACTCTGGCAAAGTTACACAAGGAGAAGACGGAGGGCAGTCATTCTGGCTTCTAACTGCCCATTAGTCTGGCGAGTTATGTTTTTGGAAAATGTCTGTTGTGGAAAGCAGTACTTTGTCCAATGTCAAACACGGCGCTCGCAAACAGCCCTCTTTGATGTCGAGTGTGATTTGTCAGGAGGAGTCAAACAAAGCACTGCATTCATGTAAATGCAGACTTCTTGAGATGATGAAGTAATACCTGAAAGACTCCGAACGAAGGTAGCTGAGAATAAATCTGTGCTATCATTAGGGGGTTTTCCCTTGGAAATTTTATTATCGCAACTTGACGTACTCGATCTGATGGTGTTTCTAGGAGTTGAGCTCAGCTGCCAGTTGGCACATAGACAAAATTTGGCATACAGCCCCCCCGCTCTGTAGCACTTTTTCCTGTTTTGATATTGTGCTTAAATTGCTTTGACTATTATATATGTATTTTTCAAAGCAGCACCTCTGCTATGCCTGATAGGTTGAGGTTTGAAACACTTTTAAAATATCAGGCTTTCAGAGTACATTTACAGATTCAGTTCAAAGCTTTGAAATGTGGTTTTTATTCAGGTTACAGAAGCGCTCCCCAAAAGGCTGCCATCAGTTTTCACATGGGCGTAGGTAACCTGCGAAGTGTATTTTAGAATATTCATAAAATGCAGATTTAAGAAGGTTGAGCTAGGTGCTGACGTTAAGGCGGCAGGCTGCCGGGCAAGTGGACAGGGCCCCGAGGAAGGGCGTCGGAGCGGGGAGCGGGGAGCTGGCTTCTCCGGCAGTGTCTCAGGGCAGCTTGCAGTAGTGTCACGGTACAGCCAGGTAACCCCCAGCGCGTGGAGGGACCATGGGCTAACCCGAGATGCACAAGCGCAAGATCGTTTAGGCTCAGAGTGAAAGTTGTGGCTGGCATGGTTATTCTGGTCCTTATCACTGGCCACTTTTATCTTAAAAATTACCCAGCTTAAGTTAAGTACCTTGCGTCAACTGAGGTTTTCAGTCGTAACTTTGACTTTGTGCTGATGAAGTAGAAATGGTTATTAGTCATTCACAGACACGTTCAACCATGCCAACCATTTTTTGCATCACGCTCTAAGTGCTGTAAATTCCACTTCAGTATTAAAAAAAAAAGAGAAAAATTTGAAATTAAAAAAAATTGGTCCAGATTGGAAAGGCAGCGTTTGGAAAAGTTTGTTTCTCATTCCGAACAGAGGCCTTTTGTGCCTTCAGCGTTGGGTGTTATTCGGTTACACAAACGGAGCCCGTGGAGAGGAGGACGCTGCCTGTTTCCGTGCCTTCCCCCCAGGCGACACCCCGGCGTCAGCCCGCCGACGCTCTCGCCTCTTCTGTTGTTTTCTTTTTCCTCTTCTGAACCTTGCCACCCTGGCTCCGGCGCTGAGGCTGTAAAAGAAGATGGAAAGCCAAGTTACCGCAGAATGATCACTATCATTAACATTCACGGGTGGTTCACTTATCATTCCTGACTGCACAGACATGGCAGCCGTTATGAAACGTCCACAGGTGTAGCACGATGATACATATTACATTGTGCCACAATGGATTTATGTATTCTGTAACAAAAGAAAAGTGTAATGAAAAAATACAGAAGGTAATCCTTTATTCCTCCACTGCACAATTTATCAGTAATGCCTGTGGATGATAAGTGCCAGGGATTTCCTTTGCTTGATTTAACCTTGTCACCCAGGTATGTTTTTGCAAAATGACGGAAAATACAAGCTAAGGAATTTCTTTGGCTTCCAATTTGTAAGCAAGGTTTTAATTGATTGAATAGCATCTGCTTGTCTGTCCTGTTTTCTAGCGTGTTGATTTAAAATAAAGGTATCCCACGTTAGCAGAGTAAGTTAAAACATGTAATTTATGATGGTAATTAAGGGTATGCCGGCATTAGGTTGGGCGCGGACAGTGTGGGTGCGGAGCGTGGCTGGCGGGGCGAGGGGGCTGTGCGTTTCCCCGCTCTGCTCTTTGCGCATCCAGGCGGGTCGCGGTGGATCGCTGATGTTTTAGGGGTCGCGGTGCGGATGGCGGCTCCACGATGCCCTGCCTGTTCCACAGCGCTCCAGTGCGCCCGGGGCGGCGCGGGGCTCCTCCTCCTCCTGCGCGGCGCAGGCGGCGTGCTCCGCCACGCTGCCCTGGCCCCAGGCTGATGGCAGAGTCCCTTTGGTCCGGCCTTAAATCCACTCTCGCCTCAGATTTGGGGGTTTACTGAGTGCTGAAATGCCGTTGCGGAGGTTCTGTGGTTGTCGTTAGAGAGAAGCAGCGCTGAGCGTGGCGGGCGCGGGCAGGGCAGAGCGCTGCGGCTGAGCCTCCCAGACCCGCTGGCTCCGCTCCAGAGCAAATATCCCAAAGTTTACAACGCGGGCTGCGCTTTGCGTTGCGCTGCTCTTGCCAAAGTCTTGCTTACTGGCGAGCACACTAAATATAGTAAAACACAGAGGTTTTTCTTACTTTGCTTTGATCAGTAAAATAAACTTTTAAAGATTGTTCTGGGACGAGATCCAGCGTCTGAGGCAAAGAACGGCCGCGGCTCAGGCATGAGTTAGTTATAGAGTGTCGGGAAAATCAGTCTGACAGCTCTCAGGCCAGCTGCTCGAGGGAAGGGATCGACCGAGTCGGGATGGCCGGGAACACGAGCGGGATCAGCAGCGGCGTGTGCTCCTGAGCAGCTGAGGTGTTGGGACTCGAAAGCCGCCCTCCCGTTGTCGGGGGGTGCCGGGGCCGTGTCGGTGCGGGCAGCCCTGAGCTGGGCCGGCGCGGGGGGTGCCGTCAGGTGCCGAGCCGCGCTGTGGGCTGCGGGTCCCGCTTTGTTTGGGGGAAAACACGTGTGAAAAACATTCTGTACTACAGGGAAAAAAAATAAAATTGAGACTCCAGTTGTTTTGGCCATAGAAGGTTTTGGAAGACTTTCTGCACCTTTGCTGGTTGTTTTTTTCTGCGGTATTTTAATTTCCTTTCCTGTATTTTGGTTGCAGTTCTCTGGAAACCTCCTTTCTGTATTGCAGGGCACTACGTGAATTACCTGAAGGCACCAGATGTCTTTTGAATCAGTGTTGCGATGGTGGGGTCCAGCCTGCAAGGCTTCTCTTGTGGCGCTTCACTGTCAAACACCATGGCATTTAAATAAAAGGGCAAAGGGAGTTTCCTTTTTGTAATTATAGAATAATTGTATAAAGTTATATAATTGTAGAACTTTAAAAAATCCACCACCTTCGGCTCCGCGGGTCAGTTGGGAAGCGAGGCGAAGGCGCCGGAGGCCGGTGGGCAGAGGCGGGATGCCGTGCGGTGCTCGTGCCCGCTGCAGGGCTCCGCAGCGGCCGGAGGGAAGGTGTGCTGGGCAGGGACGCGTTCGGGAAGGGCTCTGCGGGCTCCGTGGCCTTACGCAACGCCCTGGAGGGAGTCCTTGGGCTGGACCTTGGCAGTCTCAGCGCCGCGGCAGAGGATGGCACTCCCTCATGTGGAGCGGTGGGCTCAGTTCTGCTCGTTCTGTGTTAAACACGTGGCAGAAAGAGAGAGGGGAAAAGTAGACGTGTGAAAAGGTTTGGCTTGAAGACAAGTAAGATAGAGTTATAAATAATAAATGGTCTAGAGAACATAAATTTGGGGCTTTTAGGCAGTTTCATTTTGCCAGGAACAAAGGGAAGTGAGAATGAAATTCAGATGAGAACTCCCAGCGGCTGAGGAGGAAACGCAGGTTTGTGCTGGTGGCGGGTTTGGAGCCCGGTGGGGCTGTCTGGGAGCAGAGCCGTCTGCGGCCATGCTGGCGGGGTGGTGGGCGTTTGTGGGGTTTGTGGTGTGTAAGTGCCCACCCCATGTGGGTTTCTTGACCGTCCCTTCAGCTGTTCCGGCCGCTCTCGCAGAGGATGCCGAGCTGGAGAGCTGTGCTGGGAGCGGGGTCCGAGGGCGCAGTGGGCGCTCACTGCTCTGATAGCCGCAAGAGGAGTGTGGGAGCGCCGCGGGACAGCAAGCCGGGCGCCAGCACGTGCCCAGGCAGGGACCTCGCTGGTCGTGGCCATCTGGGCACAGGCCATGGCCAAGAGTGGGTGGTGGGGGCTGAGGAGGGCATTTATTGTCGGAGGAGGTGTCACGGCGGGGCGAGGGATGCTGCTGAGTGACCTGAGCTCTTAACGTGTACTCCCAGCGTTTGTGTCTTAAAGCGACCTGTAATACTGTCTTGTTTTTAATGATGTAATTGTGCTGCTTGGATTGCTGCTGACTGCCGGTTGCTTTTAAAACTATTCCAGCGGTGATACTCATACAGAGCTCTATTCCCTGATTAGCATTCCT